TCATTGAGGAATTGTGTTTCTTTCATATGGATATGAAAGTCAAGCATCTAATTTTTTCAAACTAAAGAATTATGTCCATAAGATTTGTATTGTATTTGTATTTTGATAACAAAAAACAAATGTATTTCCTTGGTTTGTATATAATTTAATTTCTAAAGTTAGACTTTCTCTCTTGTTCTACTGTCCCAACACAAGCAGATGTGCATATAATTAGTATTTTGACATAAATTATCTCAAATATCACTCAAGATTTAAAATCAGTATTCTATTGTGAATTAAGAAAATGTGTGCATGTATTCTGATCTCCATTTTCCTAAGAATTCTGTTGATTGCAGATGCCTGGCAAATAGTCTTAGTGGAGTATCCAAAAGTTGGTAGGTATTTTGCAAAATGCTCTGTTAGAAAGATACATATGATTATGACAAGATCCTCCATTTGGTGTAATGGGTCTAATGTTAGAAGGGCTCTATGTCCAAAGGCAATTGCATTATATGTTTGATATCCCAATAGTTTTAGATGAGATGTATAACATGATTTGCCTTTAAACCACATACCCTCTGGAGACACTGGAAAATGAAAGATGGTATTAAAGAAAAAATATATACATATAAATGAAGTTACTTATATTTAAGTATAAATATGCTTATTGTTGTCTGTGAAGCTAGAGATGTTTCTGTTCCTAAGGAGGCCAACAGAAAGAGAAACACATTGGTCGTATTTTACATTGCACGGTTGTCTCAGATGTGCCACTCAGTAAAGTATAATTTTCATCAAGTGACTTCAAATTTCTGAATCTCATTCTCATTGTCAACATGTGGCAATAGTAGTAATGTTTTAACAGACTGTGAAAGTCAAAGTAGCAATGTCTGCTAAAGTGCTTTGCCACTGTAAAATGTGAGGTAGAGATAGATGCAATCCCTCAGGACTAATTCCAGCTGCCACATCTGCCTCTGAGGTGAAGCATGTGTCTTGGATTGAAGATGGGGGAGCTGTGCTAGCCTTGGTCGGATGGTGGGCAGAGCTTTTAGAGAAGACTGAAAAGTGTTCCTCTTTTCTTTCTCTCCAGGAAGACTGAAAATTATTTATTTGACTCATTTGACAATTGATTCTCTTTCCACTAGAGATGCGAATTCCTAAATATTTTCAGTATGTTTTGAATTATTAGAATACAGCATGTGTGAATGCCAGAGCAAGTGCATCTTGGGAAGTTGGAGCGGGGATACACCGACTGGTGTTTGGATCAAATTGCACCAACCTAAATGAATTATTCTTGGAAAATTTTCCCTTAAAATTCTTAAATTTCTGCCTGACAGGTGAAAGCAAGTAACTATTTTCCACATACCTGAGTGTCATTTTGAAGTATCTGTGTTCTGACCTCCTGTGTTCAGAGAGAAAATAGCTCTTCCCCCACGTGTTAGCCTGCAGGGGCTGAGACTCGATGCTTCTGCTTCCATGTCAATGAATGAGTGCAGGGGAAAGGTTACAAAGGGAGACATAAGGAGCCAGTGGGAAAAACAGGAGTTTATTAGTGTGTTTTCATTTTTATCGGAGGGCAGGGGTTTGGGAGATATGGGTTTCCCAGAAAAGCAAGGATGCCCATATTTCAAAATAGCTTCTTTCACCAAGTATGGATCTTTTTCATGGTTTGATGATTTGTTTACATGCCACATCATTCCTTTTTAATTGGTTGACCATCAGAGATTGACAGACTTGGAGAAGAGAGCTTAAATCATTCATTTGGGGTGACTCTGCAAATGTGAGCCACCCCAAATGAATAGTTTAAAATCACAGTCTAACAACTCTCAGACAAAGTATGTTCTGCTTGGAAAGCAAAGATTTTAAGAAAACTGTATGAATGCTTTGAGGTGGAGTATATGCTCCCTGTTTTATACCCAGGTGTCTTATAAAATTATTCTATCTGTATGAATCCTATAGGCATTTGAGTTTTCAGACACTTTGCCCATAAAACCAACAGGATTTTATTATCCCTTTCTGTCACTAACTCTGCTGCCTTCAGCAGGTAAAAGTTCTAAATAGTTAAAAACAAAATCTTTCCAGACAACTTCTTCTTTAGGCTAGATGCAGTTCAGTTTATCAACCTTTTGGAAATCATCAATGCCCTTTCATTCTGAGACACCCTACATTTTCACCTTGTGTTGCTCCGGAGTATCTGGACGGTGTAAGGGCAGTACAGTGGGGGAAACACGAAACAAAGAAGGGAATAGCAGAAATATCTTTAAATTATTACGTCTTCATTTTCTCTCTTAGACTAATAGTTTTGAAATAAATCGAATACATGTTTTAATTGATAAACTGACTTTATATTCACCTATTGGAAACAGTACAACATATTTTACATCAGATTATGAAATATGGATGTTTTACTAAAAGACAGGAAGAACTTTTTCCGGTCTTTAAAGTAAATACATATTCAAAGGATCTTAAGGCATACCATTTATTCATATTCATATCTATTGAAATACTGTACATCCACATACTTCAATAAATAGTTAAAAACCTGACCTCTTTTTAAATCATTTCTGAATTCCAAAAAACAATTTTTTATTGAAAAGATTAAATAGATAACTTTTGGCTGTGTCACAAAGCTAAGCACAATGGATAAATTAACAATTCAATAAATTTGATCAATATAGATGATTGGCTTTGATAAATTTCTCAGAATTTTCTGAGTGGACACATTAGGGTATTTATATATATATATTTTTATTATCTTTCTTTTTCTCCTGAATTATCTGGGTGATTTTCTTAGTTCTCCAGTCTACTTTCTAGATATAGTTTAAATGTTATGATGAAGCATTAAAATTTCAGTTAAGATTTAAACCCCCAAAAGTAGCTTTCAGTTTGACATTCACTCTCTCAAATCTTTTAAAGTCCCCCCAAATACAGAACACTATAATTTGGGTGGTACTTTTCTTTACGTAATTGCTGCATAATAGAAATTTCATGGTGTAACAGGATTTATGTTTTGAATGGGATCACTGTAAAACATACACCACTTGCAGTTGAACCAAGAATGCAAATGAATTAACTACCCCAATATCCTGGTTCTTCCTCCCTCCTCCCATTTTTCTTTATTTTCCTTCTTTCCTCCTTCCTTCCTTCCTTCTTCCCTCCCTCTTTCTAATTCTTCATCACTCCCTCCCTCCCTTCTGTTTTCCTTCCTCTCCTGCCATCTTTACCTCTTTCCCTTTTCTGCTTTTTTTTTCTTTCTCCTCTCCTTTTTCAATTGCTTATTTTTCTTCTTTCTTTGAAAAACTAGGGGCAACACAAAGGAATCCCACAATCGTAACTTGTGGAAATATAATGCTGAAATGAATAGCTAGAAAAAAATGACTATACATTAAAAGATAAATCAATTTCATAAAACTACTATTCTGAAATTGCAACAATCTTGTACAGTCAGGACTGATAAAATGAAGTAACCAGACATTTCATATGTCCATAAATGTAAAATCATCTACTTGAACATTATATGCAATACATTCACACAAAAAAGCAAATACTGTAGCCTTATTTGAACAATATTGAACTCATAAATACTCATGATTTTACTCTGTCCAGGGGCCTAAGGACTAGGAATGCTGTTGTGGTACAGAAAAACATAGCGAATACCTCCTCTATTTAAAAATGTCACTCAAGAACATCTCTTCTAACATAAAGGCAAATACATATAGCTACTGAGCTATGACTGTACTTCTGTCACATTCTATGGTAATAACACCAGACTCCACAAATTCGGAATCATGACAACACTTTGAACTAATTATTTGGTTCATCCATAGTTTATATCTCAATTTACCTCACATTTACCCTACAAACCTTACAAAGAGGAGGTATTTTTAACTCTAGGAAAGCGGTCACTGTATAGTATGCATTCTTGATCTGTTTCTTTCTCCCAGTCTATGGTACTGATGGTTAACACTTTTGTGGTAGCACCACTATTTCTAGTAAGTAGATTATTATGGAGTGTGCCACTTTAAAGCTGCAATACAAAATAATATTTTCCAATTCACTCACAAATTCCACAAAGAATAATTTTAAAAAGCAATCAATACTAAAGTTAAAATGCCATATGTATTATAAGCATTTTAATACATCAGTCAAAATAATGTAATAAATGATTACAGTGAGTAAATTTAATAGCATCATGCCATATTATTGACATTTTGTGAAAACATTTCTATATTTATGCCTCCTCATTCAGGATTCCTTTTTAAAAAAAATTAAAGTGGATTTATGGTATACTTTGGGATTAAATTTTACTTGAAACTGCAATTCTCAAGTTACAGTATCTCTTTCCAAGCAAAATATTATGTATCTTAACTATGTATAATTTCTTTGAAATTTCTTGTATCTAACTTGATTAGTAAGTTTTTGCAGAAGGGCTTTGATTATTTGTGGGAATCTCTGTAAATATAGTGAAATCAGGAACTTTGTCAAAATTGTAAAATGACCTTCAAGGCTATGGTCTTTCTTTAGTAAATAGTAAAACCATCAAACTATTCCTGTAATATAATACTTCCTAAAGTAACAGCACTTTTCTTTAAAAATGTAGTTTTCACTCATTATAATAGAAATTTAATATTCATGATCATTTAATAGTCAATATATGATAACATATTCTCATCACTGGTCTTGTCTTCATTTTATCGTATCTTATATATACCATGCAAGAAGAAATAAAGCATGGTCATTTTCTTTTGTCCTTACTTGTTTGAGTGGATATGGCTATAAGAGAAAGACTTTATTATAGAATTAGTTATTTCAGGGATTTATCTACTGCACACCAGCATGAAATATTTGTTATAATATATTTTGAAATAAAAGTCATCTAACATGTATTCCAAATTATCAACTGAATGGTGTTTTCAGATGGAAATTGTGTAAATTGCCCCTGTCCTCAGGAGCACCCACCCAAAACAAATTAAGCTCACAACTCATTAAATTAATTGATTGGACTTTTTTCTTTTCTGAAAAACTGTCTTAAAATTTTTGGCCTGGAATAGCAAAAGGAAAAGATGCTGGATTGCTAGGCAATCTCTTTGCTGGACTGTGTTGTCATTTTAAAAGGAATTATTTCCCAAAGTGGATCTCACATTTAGCAACGAGTAAAGAAATTACATGGTAAATTTACCTGTACTATGTTAAATTGTTTTCCTTCACAAAATTGAGTTATTGTGGGGAAAATTCTCAAACCCCACTCATAATGTAGAGGATTTGCAGTCCTGTAGGTACTTTGCTCTTTAGAGATAGGATACAGTTAACTTTATCATTGTAGTTTATTTTTGCTCTCGATTACAGGATTTGGCAAGACGTTTTTATTAGTTGAAGACAAAGAGGGAAATGTTATGTCATGAAGGCACACCCATGCTGAACTTACAGGAAAGAGAAGCAGAGCTGCACAGCCAGTTATATTACAAGGCTCATTCCTGAAACCTGAATATCATGCGAGCAGAAAAATCTAGATATGTGTTTATTTTGAAGAAATGATCTGAAGGCAATATTATTTGCTTTTTTATCAAAAGAGAAAAATGCATCTTTGCAAATATGGGTTGATTTGTATTGAAACGGGGAAATGAATGCTTGTATTGCAGCCTTAAAGAATCACATATTCACTGCAATATTCGTTTTGTAAACTACAGCCTGCAACCTAGCAGACCATGACTGAATGCTTTTGAAAAGTTGTAGATTACAAACATGAAATCACAATTAATATCCTCTAAAAGTAATTTCAGAGCCTTCACATCTTAAAAAAGGACAATGTGTACTGCTTCACAAGGTAATGTAGCTAATCAGAAAAAGAGTAGAATTAAAGTATTTACATAATGAGCAATTCTACAGAAGGCGATCATCCCCATGTAAGCACTGCTGATTATATCCCACGCTGCTTTTAACAAACTGTACCAGATTGGATCCAGCCATCAGCACTTTCAGAGAATTCTTAAAAGCCTTTTATGGGTCTTTAGATTCATTGTAGAATGGCATTCTTCAGGTAGAATATGCTGGTGAAAGAGGACAGTGTCAACACAAGGGACCAGCAGGAGAAAAGAATGTCGGCGCTCCCGGTAATTCCATACTGGGCTGTACTTGGAGCTGAAAAGAAAAGGAAAAGACTAAATCAAAATCTAATTTGTGTCTTTCAGGATCTTAAGGATAATCAAAAGGCAGCTGGGTATAATGGGGAGTGCACTGGCATTGGAGTCAGACAGGGTTAGGTTCACATCTGGTTCTCCTCTATGACAATGTAGGGCCTATTTGATGAACATTGCTGAGCTTCATTTCTCTTAAGGGAAAAACAGAGATAACATAATCCCCTTGGCAGGGCTGCAATGAGAATGAGAGATGAAGCATATACAACATGTTGCACTGGACTGAGCACAGGCTAAGGACCTAATATATTGCAGCTAACATTGTTTCTTTTATATGTATTGTGCATATTTGTATTAGTGAACAGTATTCACCCATGCATATTTTAAAAAAATTGATTTTATTTGCATAAAATTGATGTATGACACTGTATAAGTTTAAGATGTACAATGATGTTGATTTCATACATTTATATATTGCAATATTATTACTACCATAGTCTTAGCTAGCATCTTTATTGCATCATGTAATTATCATTTCTTTTCTGTGATGGAAATACTGAAGAACTGGTCTTTTAGTAATTTTGAAGTTTATAAAAATACAGTATTATTGACTACTACGACTTTATTAAATATCCAGAACTTATTTATCTACTAGTTCCAGGTTTGTATCCTTAAACAATAATTCCCAATTCCCCCACCCTCCAGGATCTAGTAAACATTCTGCTATGTTTTTCCAAGTTCAGCTTTTTTGGATTGAACATATAAGTAACATTATACATATATACATGCATATATTTGTGAGTCTTTTTTGTGGGAAAAATACTGCTAAATGCTGTAAAAACAAACAAAAATCCTCTCTTTCAACAATTTTTGGAAGTGAGGAAAGATATTTAAAAAAAAGTAATACAGTCCTAGAAACATCAGAGTTGCATGTGCAAATTGGGTATTTAAATCTGCCCCACCAAGGGAGGGATGATTTAACAGAGAGCTTTACTAAAGTACACTGTCATTTGGTTGGAGGAAAGAATATATTCAAAGGCATGAGGAGAGGAGAGAGCATGACAGAAATTCTAGGATCCAAAAGATTAGTCTTGCTGGACCGTGAAGATTGAGACCTGAAGTAGTGGGAATTTTAAATGGGACTCTTGGCAGATAGGATTATCTTGCTTATTATAAAAAAAGAGCTTAGTTCTTTATAATAAAGGAGACTTCAAAGAATTTGGAGCTTGTGAGTTGTATGATTGCACTTACACATTAGAAAGACCACAGCTTTATACATGAGAAGCTCATGTGGTACTTGGCTAACAAACATGTTGAATTTTCACTGAGAGATTTAACCTAGAGACTCACAAAGCTTGGGATATTGTGGGAGTCTACTCAATGAATTCCACTTAATTTCACAAGAGGATAGTTGCCTCTTTGAATGTGAATTATATGCTCTGTTCTAGAAATTGAATGTCATAGACATGCTCAGCCTTGCCTGAGACTGATTCTCTTTTACCATAATTATAACAGTGACAATAAAAAAAACCTCACCAACATACTTTTAACTACTTTTTCTTAATGAAACCTTGATTGCAAGCATGGTTTTCTAATATAAAATAAATAATGTAGTATAAAAATGTATTTATTTCACCCCCAAATCCATAACTCAAATCCAGGAGCAGTTTTAGTCACTGAATTTGAATTACCAGCAGGTAGTTTTTAATGGAACTCTCACCAATAACTATATATCCATGTTACAAGGAGAACAAATTGCCTCATTTATACTTCTAAGAAATTAGAGGGGGATGAAAGATGCATTGGCCCCTTCCAGTGGAAAATCTTCTCAACAGTACGAGCATTGGTTCCAGCTGAATGAGATTCAAGGGCTGAGACTACTACTCTTTAGTAAACACAGAGCAAAATCAACTATTTAATGCTTCTCTTTGTAACAAAATGAGTCCTGAAGAATGAAAAGATTGGAAAGAAAATAAGTCTATATGGTCGAACAGACAGCTTTTCAAGTTTTGCTATATAAAAAGTCTAATATAAAACCACAAAACTCAAATTATTTTCTCTTGTCCAAGACCTAGAAAGAGGTATTTTTAAATATATAAATAAATATTTAATTGGTCCATTGACTTCTCAATGATGGCTATTTCAGGATTATTTCTGCTATTGTTTTAAAAGAATCTTGAGTGCAATAAAACCAGTATAATAAAGGACTAATAATAAACAGAGCATATACAATGATTTCATAAGTAGGAAATCAATTTTAAAAGCCAAGTGCACAAAGCAAAGATAAAATTTTATTATCTTGACTAATTAAATAGTATAGTAAGTGAGTAGAGTAGAAAGGACCCTCAAAACTCCATATCCATACTTTAAAATGCATTTTGTGGGCAATCTTTCCTAAATCTCCTCCAACAAGCTGAGCAGATTACCCTAGTGTGTCATTAGGCTACCATTATATATTCCTTTTTATACAACTATAATGCTGTATTGCAAATATTTTTTAAAGATTTTATTTATTTATCTTTAGGTGGGGAGGGAAGGAGAGAGGGAGAGAATATCAATGTATGGTTGCCTCTCATGGGTCCCCTGCTGGGTACTGGCCTACAACCCAGGCACGTGCCCTGACTGAAAATGGAACTGCAATCCTTTGGTTCGCAGGCCCGTGCTCAGTCCACTGAGTTACACCAGCCAGCGCACATTGCAAATATTTATATACATATCTATTTACCAGATTGTTAACTCTTCTAGTTCATGTTTTATTTATCTTGGTGTTTCTAGGCACAAAGTCTGGCAAAATCTGGTACACAGTAGATGCTTAAGAAATGTCTGTTGAGTGAACAATTCAAGTAAGTAAATAAATAGATCAGAATTAAAAGGGGCACTCCTCTCTTATGAAAAGAATTTCTTCTGAAGTAAGCCAGTTGCTTATTGGCTAGAGAATTAACATACCCTTCTCATTCATTCAGCAGATGTACTGAACTAGGTACCAGATACTATACTAAGTACTAGGAATATAATAGTACAATAGCTACTATGATAAATATGGTCCTTTTGTTACTTAATTCCATATATGGCCATATATATTTCTTTTTATCATACCTCACATACCTCAATGCCTTCTTTTTTTCTCTGCATGCTTTTATCTTCTACTCAGCCCCTTTTTGTCTCTGATATGGCAAAGATATCAATAATATATTTAAAAACTACTATTTTACAATTAACAATATATATTTGTCCAATGATGTCTCAAACTGATGTACTTTTAATTTTGTGAATGCAATTTCCATTAGTCCCAAAATAAAGTAGGAGCTGTTGCTGCACTGTTAGAATGTAATTACTATAAGAAATGGATTGCAGAATAGGTATTGACAAGTAGTAGGCCAAAAAAACAAAGAATAGATGTAGTCAAGAGAATGTGAGGCCAAATGTCTAATACTAAGTCATAGACAATGACTCATACTCCTTAAGTATACATTGAAGGTCTTTTATGTGCTGGGTGTTGAACACAGGTGAAGGTGAATAAAACCTCTCAGGAAAGTTTCATTCTAGTTGGGTATATAAATAAAAAGGAAAATATAGAACATTAGAACATATACAGGGAACAAACATGAGAGGGCTATCCAAGAGTCATGGTAGGTAAGTAGCCCAGGCAGCAGATACAAATGTAATTATTTTTATTATGATCATTATTATTATTTTACAAAATGCAATGACAGACACATTTTAGTACATATACATCTCATTTTTTAAGATGGTGGCATTGTTGTCCATTAGTTTAGAGTATCCTATTACTCCATAACCTTAGTCTCATTGACTGATATGTATTTATTTATTTTGTTGTGTCTTGTTAACTCAGTGACTTACAGTACAAGCCTAATTGTATTAAATTTAAGAATCTCAGTATTATTTGGACTAATTAGATTTGCTTGGCATGTTAAATGCTAATCAGCTATATAAGAAATTATAGACACTCTTAAGAAATTAGGGAAAATAACTGTTAGCTATTAGTAATTAGCTATTGAAAATTAGTTTCAAGACTCAGTTCAAGTAGCCTCTCCTGTAAAAAAGAAAACTCTTTATAAAGTCCCAGTTGCCAAATCAATTTGGCATCACATTTGATAGCTAATTTATATATCTATCACATTATATTTGCATACTAATTTTTCCTCATTAGCCCAAGAATGTCTACAAGCCAAGATTTATTATATGTATCTTTATTATTGGTATAGAAAAATGTCTGTTATTTAGTAAATGTTCAATAATATTTGTTGAATGATGATAAATTTTATATCTCTTTCCTATACTGTCACCATAAACCCATAAGGGGACACAATGCCTTGAGTACTTTTCTCAGAAGAATCATGTCTTTTACTATTTATATTTTACCTTCTAAAACCTGTACAGAATCAGAACACTTCCCTTCAGCATTTGAGCAAGAAGATATTATATCATGGGGCAGCCTATATAAGGGAAGAGCATACATCAAACTTTGTAGCATCATCCTCTTGCAGCAAAACACAGGGAGTGTAGATGAACCCGTGGCCTGAGATATACTTCTGAATTTTGTGAGATGTTTATCTGTGCCTTTTGGATGGTCACATCTTTTGGATGTTCTCTGCTGTGTTTTTAGTTGCCTGTGAATATCATACTGCTTTTCATCCTAACTAAAATTAGAAGGGATAGGACATGTGAGTGTTTCAGATTCATTCTGAATGATATTAGAAGACAGGAGAATTTTGAGCAGAGGAGGTTAGCTGGCATTTAAAAGTAATTGAGTATTCTGTGATCAATAGATTGTACTAGCAGAAACAAGAGCAGAAGCCTATGTTAGCCTGAAATGTCAGGGTCTCCACTGACTATTGAGAGAAGCTAAGGATCTCCAGCTCAGAATTCAGGACCTCTGCTATGTGGCTCTAGTCAATTTACCCCGACTTATACACACTCTTAGCTCCAGTCACAGGAATCATTTTCTGAATGGATAGGGAGTTTTTATTACTCCTTGTCATT